AAAAATAAACAAAAATAGTTCGATAGTTTTCAAGATTTTTCAGTTAATGAATTTTCCAATGAGATTCTCGTGGATATTTTCTATTGTTCACGGTATGTATATATATGTATGTATGTGTGTGTATATATATATATATATATATATATATATATATATTGTAGGTCCACGCCTTAGCCCGTGTACATTTTGACACTAGGTGGGGTCGAGCCATTCATGAGAACAAGAGCCGGTTTGTTTTTCAAAGAAATTAAAATAAGATGAAAAAAGGAGACGAAAAATGAAGCTCGACCATGACTCGTTTCAACATGAAGTCGAGCAGTTCAAAAGCGAACGAGCTACTCAATCCCTTTGCCATGCCTAAGTAACAATTCTATTAACTATAGATTGGAAATTCTATCATTAAAACTACTTAAAATAACTTACTTTATTTTTAACTCTAAACAAGACATATAATTTATTGATTTAACCAATGTTCTAAAAGGCGTAATGCATGGCTATGCGTGGAGGCCAAACTATGGGTTAGGCGGAGCAAAGGCATAAAAATGTGTTTTCTTATTTTGATATTATTTTAATTTTTAATCAATCAAAATATCGTTCAGTAATTAAAAATAATACCTATCAAACATCTAAAACAAATTTATAAAAAATTTATATATTTTTCCAAAGTTTTCAACAAAAAGATAAGTTTCAAATGTAAATGTTAAATACTAAATAAATATAAATTTTTGGAAATTTTTCTTTGAACAGCTTCACGCAGATGTTTTGAATTTAGAATTGACAAAAGCTAAGAAATCAACATTTAAGTTTTAATTTAGAAGAATTGTTAAAAAAAAAAAAAAAGATAATTATGCGCGCTTAGGTATGCATTAGCGATTAATCACGCCTAGACATGCATTAACTGTTAACGATTGCTATTAACCGCTAAATAACGCATCAAGCCACTTGACTTGACGTTTCCGCCCTGCAGCGCACATTTTAGAACAGTGAATTTAACTCATAAGTCATCTGTAAATTTATTTTGTTATATCCTAGTACTTATGAGCAAGTGTTTTTTATGCGGTAGTGGTCTGCATTACATAATGAGCTTTATATAGAGACATAATTTGGATTGGACGAGGAGCGTGTTGGTTATAATCCAGCCACCTCATCTCGGTCCACTCACTTTCACACGTGAACCCGCTCCAGTAATCATATTCACGTGAATTTTCATGCCATTATCAATACCTTTCATCATAGATTTTATATTTAAATGTGGGCCAAAATTAATTTTTTTCCTCCAAAAGTAAATTCTCAATTCCCAATTCCCAATTCTTATGAAAATGAAATATAATGTAATTTATTGCATTTCCATTTCCTACAAATGAAACCCTCATTGGGACTGCTGTCTTTAATTATTAAAGAGAGAAAATAATAAAATAAAATAAAAAATGAAGGTTGGGTTTATCTTTGATGTAATTGAATGGTCTAGATTTCATATTTATGCATATTTAATTTTACTTCTATGGATAATATGAACTTTAATTATGTGTGTCAAAAGACAAGCACGACATGGCATTCAGCCCGGAGAATTGTAGCGGGAGATGCCACACAACTCCAAACTTACAAATAGAGTACAATAGTTATATAATCTCAATAAATGTTGATAAAAATCATTTCGTACAAAAAATTGGAGAGAGTTAGATACGAAATTAATGATTGTATTGAAGGCAACTTTTCTCCCCACTTGCATCACCACCACTGTCATGGACCAATCACAATTTTCGACAAAATAACACGGGTCGAATATCAGTCTTATATCGTCATTACGTCTCAAAATCTATCCTTCTCCACCTCAAGTGTACTATAACTTGAAGTGACAAAGACCGTCTGATGAGTGAGTTTAACCTGAAAAATGGGTCATTTCCCTCCACAAAAAAGGGAGGAAAATAAAAGAAGGTATTTCAAATATCATAAACTCTTGTCTACTCTAATCTCATCAAATATTGTAAAAATCTCATTTTACTCATTAAAAACATTGTTTAAAGAGTGTCACGCCACTTTTTACTAATAAGACTGTCAAATAATTTACATGAATGTTGAAATTTTTTCTTTTCTCAAATCAAAATTCTAATACATAAAATTTTCATAAATGACTTGAGATAATATTTGCAGCAAATATATATGTGCACGCGCAGCGGCACGCCACGCTATGTCAAAATCAAATTAAGTATGATGAACTGTAGCTAAATCATTCATTACCTTACTATATATTATATTATATTTCTTTTGTAAATTTCGATATATATTAACATGTATAAATTTATAATTTTTGAACCTGATTTAAAAAAAAAAAAAAAAGTATGTATGTATGTATGTATACACACACACACACACCCCGTTGAAAATAATTTTGATCTTGATCACGATTTATTAGAAGTAAAAGGCAATTTGGAATAATTTTTACCGACCTAAAAATTGTTGAAAAATTAAAATTTACTTGAGTTCGACAATGTGGTATCTCATACATCTTCACTTCTTTACTAACTTTGGTACGCAACAAGACCTATAGTATATTGTCCAAGAGAAAGAGTAATTTTTGGTTGAGTTTCGATTTAATCTTTTTCGTGCAATATTGTTTGTGTCTTGTGAACGATAAGTCAAGAAGATAGGTAGTTATTGTATATCATTGATTGAAAATTTCTTAATCGTTAATCTATTGAGTAACGTATTCTTAATAATCCAATCAGAGATCCTAAAAAAAATTGAACCTGAGATATGTGTTTGTTTGGTAGGAATTTTGTTAATTGATTTTTTTATCGTTAGAGATAAAATGGGTCCTACCTGTAAGAGAAAAAATTCAAAAATGACAGTTGAAATAGTGAAATAAAGATCAAAAAATTGATTTAACTGACTTAAAATTTGTACAAAACAAGCTCATAAGTAAAGAATAGAGACAAATGTGATAAAATATAAAAGTGCTTATTTTAGTATTCTTAAATTATTGATAAGAAAGTGAATGGCGATACCTCATAGAGGGCCCTGTGGTTGGTTCTCAATTAACGCACTCCATAGAATTAAGAGAAAAGTTATGCTTAATAAATTGGATTGACAAAGTACTTAAAGAATTGAGAAATGTCGTATATAGCCTTATTAAAATGAAATCAATCACGAACTTAGTCGTTTTGTACTATCCAACTCAACCCTTTTCGGGTTTATGTGAATCTTCACCGGGGTATGTATTTTATTTTTACTTCTTTAACATCGTATCCTATTTTATTTCATCATATGTTTAGATTATTGAAAATTAAAAATTTATTATTTTATCTCATTCCCTTCCATAGTCATCTATTTTTAACATAAAGGAGCGATGGATATTAAGTGCGTGATAGTTGCAAATGCGTGATTAAAATCAATATTTGATTTTACAATGAAATCCAATCAAACACCATATCTTCTTTTTTTTTGCCTTCTTTCCTATAAAATAAAAAAATTAATATGGAAAAAGAAAGGAAAATATTATGAAAAAAATTGTATTGATTTTCATTAATTCTAAAACAGTAATAATATGTTTTGTAAATTGGATTTGATTAAAAAAAAAAAAAAGGAACAAAGAATATCAAAGTTAGAAAAAGAATTTAAAAGATTAGGCTAGATTTTATCATCTTGCCTGTAATTTAACTCAATTCGACTTTTTATTAGCGGGATGAGTAGTGCAAAAGGAGACACAACTAGAAGAGTATACCTTGTAATTCCTTTCCATCCTTTTCTCAATTCAATTGCTATCTTCAAAGTGCTTTTGATGGTTCTACTAGTCTTGTGTTACTACTGTGTAACAAATGTGACTTGATAACACTAATGCGTTAGAGATATTTAGTTTGAGCAAAATATTCTTTGTAATCTTCCCTTTCTTAGAATTCTATCAATTAGAATATATTTAAGAATGCTTGTAATCCCTTTAATTTTATTTTACCATATCTAGTGTCAATTAGGGACTTTGTACACTGTATATATACTACCATTCAGTATTGAAATAATATGCCATACATTTTCCATTTCTCTATTCTCCTTCATAATGCACATTATATATTTTGGATTAAACTTTTTATGAGTTGCTCAGAGCACAACAAATGCAATTGACGAGTGAGCCCTACATTCCTTTCCATTCTCTCTTTTTCGATTAGATTGGAGGTCTTTTGGGTGTTTAATTGCAGTCTTCTGAGTGCTTTTTATGGTTCAATTAGTCCAACATTCATGTGGTATGACAAATGTGACTTGAAAATACCAATGCATATTACATATGTTGATTTCAACTTTTTATGAATCGATCGAGTACGCAACAAAGGGCACCATTAGAAGAGTGGACCTATAATTCCTTTCCAATTTTTTCTCGATTTGATTGCATTCTCCGAAATTCTTGCTGATTTCCCACTAGTATTGAATTAGAATTGTGTAACAAACATGATTTGATAATAGTAATACTCATGTAAAGTATACCTAACCTTGTAATATTCGACATTTAATGAGCTGGTCGAATAGTGTGACAAGAGAGAGAATCAAAAGAGTGAGCCCTATGACGCGTTTCCATTTTTCTTGATTCGATTGCAGTTTCTGAAGTGCTTGTTGATGATCCTACTAATTTGATAGTACGTAATAAATGTGATTCCAACAATACTAGTGCACATTATAGTTCACACCTCTTTTTACAACTGGTCGANACTAATTTGATAGTACGTAATAAATGTGATTCCAACAATACTAGTGCACATTATAGTTCACACCTCTTTTTACAACTGGTCGAACAGCGTGACGAGAAATAATCGAAAGAGTATGCCCTATGCTTCCTTTCCATTTTTCTTAATTCCTTATTGAAGATCCCACTAATTTTATCCTATGTAAGAAATGCGACTCTGACAATACTAATGCACATTAGTATCTAACACCCCTTTCCCCTCACCTCAAAATAAATAAACCAATAAAAATCACTGCACTTTACAATTTTACTTCGATATACTGTAGATTAACCGCTAAAAACACGCTATATTCCCTCCGCTAAATTTGGCGGCACCAAAACAGCAACTCTAATGGCTCCTCTTCCATCCTTACTGGATATCAATCTCACTCTAGATTTCATAAAGTTTTCCCATTAAATAATTCTTCCCTAGGATAGAATCTCACTCATTTTCTTTTCTGGGTTGCCTTTTTTCTTCAGAAATCAAGAAAATTCTCACAATGGAAAAATCAGGCCATAATTCATTCTCTGATCTTTTGTGTGAAGAAGATGAATCTTGCTTGAATGAACGCTGTTTCCAGGATATGGGCTTCGATTTGGGCTCTTTTTCTGTGTTTGATGATGAGTATATACAGTTGTTAATCGAAAGAGAAAGCATTTTTCAGTCGGATGGAAATGGTTTTTCAATCGAGAGTGAAAAAAAATGGTTGAAATCCGCCCGTTTGGATGCCATTACTTGGATTCTTGAGGTCTATTTTCTATTTCCCTTCTTTTACTTTCGGTTCAACCACTGGGAGGAAAATTGAACCATATGATTAGTCGACTTATTATTGTGCTTTTCAATGGACGTATTTTTGCAGACAAGGGCCTTTTTTGGATTTCAATTTCGTACCGCTTATCTTTCCATTATTTATTTTGACCAGTTCATTTCAAGAATGTCCATTGATGTAAGTTTTTTCTAATTAGAACCTTTTTCTTTTGTTTATGATGGGATCATTTTCATGTCTGATTCATATATAATTAAATGGGATTTTATTGTTCTGTTTAGTATGTGATTTCGGAATTTTATTGATGTTAACAGGACAGCAAATGGTGGGCTATAAGATTATTATCAGTCGCATGTTTATCATTGGCTGCAAAAATGGAGGAACCTAAAGTACCAGCATTATCCGAATATCATGTAGATGAATATAATTTTAAAGGAAATGTGATTAAGAAAATGGAATTGTTGGTTTTAAGTACTTTGGAATGGAAAATGAGTTCAATAACTCCTTTTGCTTATCTCAATTATTTCTCCTCGAAATTCTGTGGTGAATTAAGGTGCGAAGAACTGTTAAAACGAGCTGTTGAATTGATCTTGGCTGTAATAAAAGGTAAGTCGACATGTAATGATGTTTGAATTCTGATTTAAATTGCACTTAGTGAAATTCTTGGTGAATTTATAGTTATGTAATGCAGAGATTAATGTGGGGGAATATCAGTCGTTCATTATTGCTGCAGCCGCAGTTTTAGCCTCGTATGAGTATCAGTTAACAAAAGAATATATGGAGACTAAGATGAATGTTATTCCATCATGGGGGTCCATTGAGAAAGTGAGTCTCCTTTGTTATATAATTTGCTAGTTTCTTGTTAGTTTGTGAATAATTAAGTAATTTTTATTGACTTCTTTCATCTAATTAACTGCAATAATTTTGCATATCAACAGGAGGATATATTTTCGTGTTATAATCTACTGCGAAAGATCGGGTTTGTGAAGTTCAATACACCCAACTCAGTGATTTCCCCAAATTTATTTTCAAGTCAATCAAGCTCTGTTCATTCTCTTGAGAATTCTTCAATCACCTCGACTGTTGGCGTAAAGAGAAGACTCGCATATCCTGATGGTGATCTATGTTGTCCTCTTCACAAGAACCCTCGCCCGTAGTTGGTTTGAGGCATTGAATTTTGACGATAAGATTGGATTTTTGGCCTTAATAAACATAACAACATATTGTATGATTTGGAGTGATACATGGCTCCCTTATCGGCGTTAAGCAAAAGTCTTATGTAGTGACAGCTAAACAAATGAAAAAAGGAGGATTTTGCATAAAAAGAGAGAGAGAAAGATATTTTTCGAATCCCATTGAAGTTTGTTAATACTTTTTTTTGGTAGCATCGGGGTTTTCTTGTTTTCTCCCCTTTCTGAATTCTAGTTTTCCCCTTAATTTTCGAAATTTTTCATTATGGATAAATTTTGCATGCTTATGCACCATTGGAATGCTATTTGCCCTAAATTTTGATAGGAGTTTGAGATTCTTTGTTCTCTCAAAAAGCTGATAGTCAACAAAATAATAAATTCTTTTCAATGCATATGCATGTGATGCTCTGGCATTACACTTGTTCATTAGTTTATCATGTTGAAATCGAATGCCATAAGCATAGGATTTGTTTGAGCGTCTTGATGAATATGAGTCGATATTTTGCTATATATTTTTCA